AAATATAAATATTTAAAATTAAAATATCAAAAGACTTTTAATATTAATATTTTAATTTTTTCTAATTAAAATTTAAAAATATTTTTAATAATATAATAATATTTTGAGTTGTGTCAAATCAAGTTCAAATCTAAAATATTATTTTTAAGCTTTGATTTGAGTAAAGTTATAAAATATTTAAATAAAATTAAATAAATATATTTTTATTAATATTATAATATTTCCAATCAAATTTAATTAAATTTCAGTTTAAAATTTTATATGTAAAGTCCGACTTAAATAAAGCTATATTCATGAGCTTTATTAGTAATTCAATTCATAAAATGCTTTGAAAAATTATCTTATGCTTTTTAAAAGAAAAAAATTAATTTTAAAAAATATAACCTTATTTTTATTAATTAATAAATAATTTTTTGTTAAGTAATAATTTTTTTTACTAAATAAATATAAAAAACTATAAAAATTATTTTTTAAAATTCATTTTCAACAAAACAAACTAGCCAAATTAACCCGTGGGAAGTAGCCAAATTTGCTACTAGTATACATGTTAAATCAAAACTTTATACCCACATTCACCCAATGTTGGAGAATTTGTTTCCCATTGGAACTAGCATTGACTTGTCTGAGAATCAAAGAGAGAGAGAGAGAGAGAGAAGGAAAGCCAACTTGCCCTAGCAAGTGAAGCGAAGGGGCTGTGCCTTAATTTGCGTGCCTTGTAGCTTTATGCATGCTCTCATTTTCTCTCTCTCTCTTGAAGTTAGCTTTGGTTTTTTTCATTGGAACAAAAGAGAAACAAAAAAGGGGTTGCTTTGTTCATTGCTAACCCCACGTCCTCTTCGTTCCACGCGATTGCACCTCCAACCAGGCGACAAAAATATCTTACACAATGTGGTTCGGGCTGGCTCCTCTGATTTTTGCCACGTAGAGTTGAAACATTGGAATCCTCATTATTTTGTCCTACTATATATGCCAATGAATATAGTAAACTTTTGTTGGATTTTTAATGTTGTTTGGGAATAAAAAGAAAGCAGGAAATTAAGAAAGCAAAGAAAAAATAAAAAGCTTCTGTTTTGAACCTGTAAACTTTGTACATCAAGTGCATGAGATTAGATCGATAGAACGCATTGCAGGATGGAAAGATGGAAAAATTATGGTGATATCGTTGATTTAATTTCACAAACCAAAAGTTGGGGAATATGTACGGACTGAGAGGGTGGTACAGAGAGAAAATTAGTGATAGATTCGGGGCAGAGGAGGATCGACATAAATCCAGAAGAAAAAAAAAAGAAAAGAAAAACCCTGGCAGACATGAGCATTCTCAGAAGAGGAGGAAAAAGAAGACAAAATTCAGAGGACAAGATACTTCATACAGAGACATTTCCCCATCAAACTCTCCTCCAAAACACAATCTACCACCTGTTACATCTATGTAAATCTAAGAAGTAGCCATTTGTGCTAGATAAAAAGTACTGTTATATATACGTATATAAGGGTTTGTGGAAGGGGTGAGAGGGTAGGCCTAGGAGTCTAGGTATAGCCATGTAGGGTACTTTCGTTTTGCATGGTTTTGGGTTCTGTTATGATCTGTTGAAATTAGTAAAGCTTTTACCAGCTATGGGTCTTACTTGCTTTGTGCTTTGGCTTCTGATTTAGACAGGTCATGGCCATGTACTAAAATTATATTAGTATTATTAAAAAAGTTGCATGAAACAATATTATTTTATTTCATTTTTTTTTTTGGACAGTCTGTTGCATTGTCCCGTTGACGTTCAAGATCAAGAGAAGAATTGGGCAAGAGTGATTGTTCTCAAATTATGCACTAATTAACGTTTTACATAGGGAGCTTCGCACCCTTGTTTTCTCTCCGTACATAAATTTATTTTTAAATAAAAAATAGTAATTATTCTTTATATTTTAAAAAAATTTATTCCCCGAATCATAAATATAAAAACTTTAAATTCTAAACCTTAAATTTAAATTTTCAATTAAGAAAAAAAAAAACCTTACACTCTAAATTTTAGGATCATCAAACAGAAATCTTATAAAAAATTTCACAAGATTGTAAAAATAATGATTTATTAAAAATAACTATAAGTTTATTCATAAATTAATAGACAAAAATTATATAATATTTAATTATAACATATAAATTTTTAGATTTTTTTTAATTTCAACAATTTGAAAGAGGAAAACGATTAATACTCGTAATGAGATTCTTAAATATTAGAGTTAGAAAGTTGTAAAATCTCTTAGAATTCAAAAAGTTTTAAAATTTTTTGAAAAATGGTTATTAAATAATTTTATTGAAGGATAATTTTTAAAAAATAAGAGTAAAAAGAGTAATGCGAATAAAACCACTCTTTTATACATACTAACTTGGAAATCAGAATTTCCAACTCAGAAGCCAGAACCATTTGAATGTCAAAGGAAATAAAAAAAAAAAAAGAAGAAGCCTGCAACTTTGCTTTTGCAAAAGTATTAATTAGTTTTTAGTTTGATAATTACGTTAACATATATTCAATAACTTATTTACTAATTCTATATAAATTTGAGAAAAAATGAATAGAGAAAATCGATGGAAGAGGGTGGCAGTATCACTTTACATTATAGACTTTCTTATCATCGGTGAATTAGATTGTTAGTTTACGGAGTTGATTGTGTGTGTTCTTTTTTCTTGTTATGGATCCCTGGCGTGCCCTTAGCTAGTTTCTGCCTGTACAGGAAACATGGCATCAATTTCCAAGGCAGTTCTTAATCATCTAATGCATTTGCTTCCATCATCCATGACTTATTAGCCTTCAAAAGATGAAACAGAAAGAACCTTTTTGGCCCATCCCTCCATTTATTTTCTAATTCTTCGCTGTCTCTGCAATCCAATACCTCCTCAAGCTGCCCCTCTCTCTCTCTCTCTATCACATACTACAAAATTTTGAACATATATGAATCAATGAATAAACTTTGGTTATGCAATGACTGGTTGCCATTTACATAATGACATCACTTTCAAGGTTTGCGTTATTTATTTTGAAGGAGGCTTTTGCGAAAGACAAGAGCAACCACTTTGTTCTTAGATCCTTTTGTTGTTTTGATTTTTTTTTTTTTTCTGAGGGGGTAAGGGGGGTAAAGGACAGTTTTTGTGCTGACAAATTTTGGGACAATGTAAATAGACTGCGGTGCTGCGGCTGGTGACACTGGATCCGGCCAAACATGCTTCTTGCTCTAGCTGCACTGCACTAAGCACCAAAGGGATGCCACTTTCCATCTCTCTCCCACGTGACCTTTGCTCTTTTTCTAGGGGGTAAACTTGCCTGCCGGCCTGCTCAACAAAGTCAAAAAAGTTGAGTGAATCTGGCTCAGATATTACAGAAAAAAAAAAAACGAAATTGACAAACTAATATATATATATCAGTTTATCAACTTTAAGTGTCTACTTCTTGACTTTATTCTCTTAACCTAGTCGTTAAAAGACAGGTGAAAAATCATATAAACGTGAATTTGATTCCCTCATCCCTTTTTTCTTTTAAGGACACTAACTTTTTTTTGTAATAAAAAAAAAAGTCTAGTTCTGATGTACAATTTGTAGCATGCAAGGAAAATTCTAGTGTACAATTTGTAGTATGCCCCCCACTAGTTAAATGAGTAAGATGAATTTTAAATACCAGGATTTTTTTTTTTTTTTGTGAAATGATACCAGGAGATTTCCTCATTTGGTATTTTACACATCTCATCCATATTACCTTTTATTTCTAATAATAGAACTTATATTGAAATATGAGATAGAGTTAGTATAATCATCCAAAAATTTACATGCTATAATATTAAATTTTTAATTAAATTTAATAATACAAGTGACCCTAAATTAAATAAATTGATCAAAACGCGAAACAAAATTATTATTAAAAATATGACTAAGCCAAAATTATTGGCCTGTTTAACTTGTTTTGGGCTAACCTTTTCATCTAATGGGCTGATGCAAATGCAGTAGCTCAGGCTACTTAAAGAAAGTCTTGAGTTTGACAATTGGTCTTAGCATTCCCACCTATCAACCAAACCCAAGAGTCCAACCCTGCCTCTTATTTGTTATTTGTCACCAGCAACTCACCTGGACTTAAATGGCTTTAAACAAAAGCATGGCCGTTGACAACAAATCAACCAAATATTTAAGTATGCATCTTTATTTTCATATCTCTCTTTTTTGCCCATCTCTCTTTCTCTCTCCAAACAAAAGAGTAAGGCCTGGTCTTTAGATTCTCTTTCTATGCAAAATCAACCAACCCAAAATTAGTCATCAACCGTTGAAGTTCGTAGTCATGTCTCTCTCTTGCGCTGGGAAGGTGTAAAAGAAAATTATAAGTAACAAAAAAAACCCTTAAATCTTTCACCCGGCCCTTTTGTCAACAACATGATTGTCTATTATCTAGTTATTAGTTTTTTTTTTTTATATATATATATATTTAAGAAATCAACATTATCCTTGAAAAAACCTTACGATCGTTGCACAAACCCTGAAATTGTCTTCCCTCCCCCATTTTTTTTTTAATCTGCACAGAAAAAGAAGTCAAACATAGGAAAAACCCAATTTTTTGATTTATTACCTTGGTCCTTCAAAAAACGGTGAAGGAATCACAAATACCCAGATTCAAAAACGATATCTTTCTTAGGCCAAACCCTAAATTTTTGGTACCAAATCTTTGAAAACCCTAGATTTTGAATTGGGGAGTCAGAAGTTGAATCACGAATTTGGAAGATACCCATTTTCTCGATTTCTCAAAAGAAGAAGAATTCACGAACATCCAGATGCAAAAATCCAACCTATTGTTGAAAGCCTAATCCAAGGTTTTTAGACTTCAAAGTTGAAGAAGTAAAAAAGCACGGATTTTGGTTCATGCCCAAAAGCAAGAATGCTGCAAAATCCTTAATTTTATCCACCCAAAAAGGCTTTCTATTTGCTTAGCTTTTTGTTATTATGGAAGCGCCATTATCACAATTGCTGCTCTTAAGTATCGGCCTTTTGTTTACAATTTTTGCTGGTTTTGTTGAGTCACAACCATTCGATACAAGGCCACCACCGCCCGCCTTCTCCTCCGCTGCCCCCGGCGCCTTCTGGCCCACCGCCGCCGTCTTCTCACGCACTACCGCCTTTTCATCCGCGGCCATCAACAAAGCATCACGAGAATACAACAAATGACAATAGGTGGCGGCCACGACCGCCACCATCACATTCGCATAATTACAAGCTCAATACAGGCAAAAAACTTGGGCTTTTGTTCGTCGGCATTGTTATCTCCTTGCAGATTGGTGTTGTTGGGCTCTTGGTTTTCAAGAGAAGGCAGCTATTGAAAGTCAAAGGCACATACGAGACTTGCTCTTCTTCTTCATGAAATATCCGCCAAGGTTTTCTGTTCCTTTTGCGATTCATTTCTGTTTAGGGAGTTCTTTTATTGGATTTAGAAAATTTCTTTGATGAGCTGAGAAAGATGAAGTAATTTGCGGATATGGGTCCTTGCTGAGACCCTCTGTAAATGGGTAATTGTTGTTTGACATTTTTCTCTTCTTTTCTTTTCTTCAAATCTTCTTGTTGCTATTTTATCTGTTGATTAATTCTCTGGGGCTCTCTAGTTCTGTCTACACGGCTTGTAATTCAACATAGAAGAAAGCATTTTAACTTTTGCCTCAACTGTTCTTTACCCCTTTCTAATAACTTGTTTGACACTGTAACAATGTTAGGAATCATGGAAGGAATATAATGATTTGGTAAACATTTTCCATTATCTTTTTATTATTCATTTTTTATGTTTCTTTTTACCTGTAACTCAGAGAAGAATGCTTCTTGTATCATTGACTTGTTGCCAATATTTATGTAGTTGTGATGCAATATTATCGGTTTAGTTGCATTTGCTTTGTGTTATATCTATGTAAGTATTTGATAGAAGATATAATAGGCCCAACATCACAACAGATTCTGAAACTTGGTTCAGCAAAAGCTTCAAGGTCAGCTGTAAGTGTCATGGTGTCTTGAGATGAGAACTGATTATTTATGGTAGATTTCCCTCATCTGGAACAGCTTTGAGATGGAACTTCCTTAGTATTGGATGTTTTGTCTTATTAAAGCATGCATATTACATTACATGTCTGTTATGCATTATGATGAAATGATTGAGACAAATCTTACTTTGTTATGTTACATTTACTCGACCTGTGATGGATGTATCAAATAATGGATAATTGTAGAAAACAAATTGTAAGTACTAACTTTGTTTTGTTTGGTAATTTGTAAACTAGTCAATAGAGTGGTTAAGCCATTTGACAATGACTTTAGATGAAGCTTTTTGGTTCAAAAAAGGAAGAATTGTTTGGCTAACAGCTAGCAGACACAGATTTACAATGAAAAAATGGGCAAAATTGCCCCCATTAAAATCCCAGATTTTTTTGGAGTATCAAATTTGGAGAACAAACTCATTAAAAAGACAAGCAACTGAACTTTCCTGAATACCAAAAGCTTTCAATGTGGGGTTTTCTTTGAAATTAGTTTTAGCATCCTACTTTAACACCAAACAGGGTAAATATATAGCTAGGATGCGCTGGAGTGTTGTGACAGAGTAGATTATCTTTTGCTGAAGACAACTAACAAGTCATCTGATACATGATAAAGCTGTTATTTGATTAATGAAGTTGTTAATCACTCTATTGGAGGAGTCTTGGTCATCAGGTGTCCATCTTATTCACACCATTTGACAGACCAATGAGAAATTAGCCTTTCTAGTTTGATGTCAAGTAGAGATCAATTTGTTTGATTCCATTTCAATTATGTGATTGACCCCCCCCCCCCCCAAGAGAAAAAAAAACACTAGGGGCAATTTTTTGAGGTTGAGATTCAAATCTGAAATTTTAAGGTGGATGTGTCCCAAAAAAAGATGTATGCATTGAGATTCAACTAGACTTGCTAAATTCAAGCCTTTTCTGTTTTCTTTTAGCTTAATTTGGACATCTGGTCGGTTGATATAGATAGGAGTAGGACATGCTCTAAAAATGGAATTAATTGTTAGATTCATATGGAAAAGCTTACTCAATTTGTTGTGATATGTAGTGGTGTTGCCTAAAAAATTCGTTTCCACTTCATCAAGTTATTGTTTATAAACTTTATTATGCTATGTTTTTAGTTGGAACTAGCCGTGTCCATTTTGACGCTGTCTGGATTGGGACCATAACCTATCAAACAATGAATCTCAAAGGAAAAAAGAGAAGATGGCCTCGAACATTTGTGGAGTTGGGTTTGGAGTTGGACTAAACCCATCAAGTATTCAGCTTTTAGTAATTGGCTGATCAAAAAGTTTCATGGGACACAACATTAATATTAAGCCATTGCAATTAGAAAGTTCAGGAAAATTCTGCAACCGCTCAGAGCTTGGTCCTTACTAAATGAAAGATATGATGAAAGGTAATTACCAAAAGAAAATTGGCAATGAAATGATTCCACTTTCAAGTTTTAACTGTCCTTGATGTTTACTTTTCCAAGTCACTTAAGTTAATGTCAAGCAGCTTAATGCTTGGCAACAGCAGTCCATTCCACTGAAACAATGCTGGGAGATGCTTGAAACTAGATGATCTATACAGGCAAAAGGCAAGTAGCAGACTGGGAGACCCTATTCCTTTTTTATAACAAAAACCGCCGATGCTTAGCGACTCTGAATGCCTTTTTTTTTTTCTCTTTTGGACAATTCCCTTTTATTCCTTTTCTTTGGGCTGATTCCTTGGCAATTTTGAAAGAGATAGAATAACTTCTTCGAAGTTTGATCCCAACAAAAAGAAAAGAAAAAGAAGAGCATAAAATTTAAAAAACAACCCTAGAATTTAATGCAAGCTTGAAAATTTACTAACAGCAGATACTAAATGGTGATGAATTGGAAACTAATTACTAAGCCAGGAAAGCTAGGCATGAAAAAGTTTTATAGCAATAATTGTTTTGTCGTCGAATAGAATTTCTGCGCTAGGATAATGATGAACAATATATCGTCCATACTCCATATCATTTGATGCTTAAACAAAGTTTCTGAATTCACATGCCTTTTGGGTCCCAAAGCAATGGATTTTTGCAATACAAAGCAGTAACAGAAAAGGAAATATCCTACTTAAAAAAAGTTTTCCAGACCTTAAAGCATATATATCAGGATGATTCCAGTCAAAGAAGCAAGTCTACAAATTCGAAACATGTTTCCCTCGGGGAAGAAAATAAAGTAGGTTATCAAGGTGGCAACAAATATATATCTTCCCTTGGCCCTACATTGTTATTTGGTTCACAACTTTATCAGAACAAAGCAGTCCTAGCCACAATTTCAAGGGCTAAGGAATTGTCCCACCAAAACAAGTGCTTTTTGTCCAGAATACATAGATCCATTATTGAGACCTCAACTATCTGCAGAAGCAAAAATATCAGGTGTGAGAAGTGGACAAAAAAATTGTACATGAAAATAAATAGTATATGTTAGTGAAATTGAATTGCCTGAATGGCCCCCGGAATTGGATGCAAGATCAAGCCAAGGGTCAGTGTTCCTTGGTGGCCAATCCCCAAAAAATTGGTGCACTGGTTTTTGAGTTTCATCACCTTTTTCGAACTTGATTGGCCTAGCTGATTTGATATCAGTACCCAGAACAAAGCAATGCTGCTGATCTTGTTCTTGCTGCAGCTGTTTTGAACCACTGTCATCAAAACCCTGATACTCTGACTGAGGGTAGCTTTTGTAAGAACTCACTGTCAATGGCTGATACAAATCAGGTACAACTCTTACACTCCCTGAAGCTTCGGGGAAGAAAGACCTTTCGTCCACGCCCTCCCTTGTTCCATGAACATACCTATTATACAGAATAACAACTTTCACGGGCTATTATAAAAAGATGCCAAAAGTAAAAGGCAATTTAATCTGCTTTAAGCTATTAAAAAACCTGTAATCTTTATCAGCCTGGCTGTAAGAAATTCCTGTTCCAGAATCCAAGAAATGGTGAGGTGAAGTCTCATTTTGAAATGATAAGCCTGAAGCAGGAGGTCTTGTAGAAGTGGGAGAATGAGAATACAGGAAAGGGTTTTTATGGGCGGTTTGGTTAGGATTGTGATGACTGTAGATTTCTGGAGCTATAGGAGAAGAAGAGAGCGGAGAGAAAGAGAAAGAAATGGAGGATAGACTACTATTTCTGGAAGTGGACATGGAGAGGTTTCTGTTGATTGATGAGAAAGATGGTGAAAGGATTGAGGATGTTGGTGGTGGTAGTGTACAGATCGCGGTTGTTGAATCAGCTTCCACAGGCTTTCTTGAACGGTTCCTGCCTCTGTGCATGTGCCTCTCACAGTACTTGGAGTCTGGGTATGCTTCTTTTGAGCACCTCCATTTTTTACCATCTGTTCTCCTGCACCTCCCCGGCTCTGGGTCTGCTTTTCTGCCAAAACCCACCTGAAAACAACCCCACCCAACTGCAACCAGCAAGACACAAAAATTTTCATTCGACCAAAACCATTGAAACACACACAAAGTTATTTGACAAGGAGAGTTTTGAATACAATTAAAGAAAAGACCCCAAAAATAAAAGAAATTTCGAGCTAAACAATAAGCGCAAAGCCAAAGTGAATAGAAGAGTCCAACTTGTTTTGCATATACTTACTGGCTTGATGAGGGAAGACGCGTGAAGCCAAAGAAGAATCCAAACTTCTTTTGACAGAATAAATGAGTTCAGGTGGGATAGGGACTCCTGAAACCATGTATTTGAAGATGAGAGCTTGGTGTTCAAGCTCTTGCCACTGACTTGGAGTAAAAGGACACCTATTTCTGGCACTAATCATCTTTAAAGTGGAACAATAAGAAACCTTAATATTTATAGTATAATCTCAGAAGGAACAAGAACCAATCTAGGGAACTCTCAGAAAGAGGGGTTCCCAACTTCCTACAGTTCTACTTGTCGTTGGGGCTGGTAGTTTTGAAGGGAATTTTTTTTTTTTTTTTTGCAGAGTCAATTGGGTAGCAGAATCTTCTTCTGTGCATGGATAAAAACTAACTAATGGCTTTGATAAAATTGCTGTCACCTCATCTCTTTTTTTTTTTTTTCCCTCTCTCTCTTCCCACTGAGTAACTCTGCTGTCAAATTATGACTGCAAACCTGTTGCTTCTGCTTCTGCTACGCTGCCGCTGCTGCTGCCGCTGCCTTTGTTGCTGCTTTTGTCTCTGACAACTTTACAAAAATCCATAAACGAATTACATGTGTAAAGTAAAAAAGCACAAGAACAAAATTTAAAATGAATTCAAATACCGAAATACTACCAATAACTACTACTTCTCCTACTGCTACGAGTATTATAGTATACATTGAGAAAGAAGATGACTACTGACTGGCGTAATTACATATGCATACACCTTTCCTTTTGCTGTCTCCACGTCATTTCTCCTTAAAATGAGTGCCATCCCATACTGTGACGCTGCAATATTTTATACTATTAGTCACTTCTCTACTACTAGTATATTGTGGCTGTATAATGCAGGTTTTTTTTTTTCATTATTTTTATAATAAATGTGAGATATTATCACTCTCTCATAACTCATGAGTTGTAAACGAAGACGGGAAACTTATCATGGGATGAATTCAAAAGCAACGGCAAATAGAAATAACATAACAGAAATTTAATTTTTTTTATAGAGGAGATCGCAAAGTTTAGATTGGAGATGGAAAAAAATTGTATGGATTAGATTTTGAAATCCAAATTTATTAGATGTTATTTTTTAAAGTGGTATTTAGTATTTTTGTAAGATGATCATAATAATATAATTATTAAAGTGATTTTTATTATAAATGTGATCTTATTATTCGTTATTTAAAATTATTTTATAAATTTAGATTTGATATATTATCAGTATATAAATTTTATATATTATTAATAAATTGAATGACATCATTTTATTAATAAAATAAATCAGATTATATCACCTTATTAATAAATAAAATTTTTAAAATATATTAATTTTATATAGTTTTTTAAAATATATTAATCTTTATATATATTTTTAAGGGTTAATATTTATTTATTAATGATATAATATCATCTAATTTACTTACAATGTATAGAATTTATATACTGATAATACATATAATTTATATATTGACAATATATTAAATATAAACTCTTATTTTATTTGATTAATAATCATTAATATTTAATAATTAAAAATCATTGTATTTGACATTACTAAATATCAAGTATTATTTTGTTTAAAAATACAAAAGTAATCATATAATTGTAATAGTTACATAAGTTAATAATTTTATTATTATTTAAAAATATAATTTGTAAAATATTATTAATATTTTATTTATTTATAATAAAAATAATTAAATTATTAAGTAAATAAATATATTTATTGATAAGTAAACTAATTTTTATAATATAAATTATGTAAAAAATATTTGAATCAAAAAATAAAATTAATCTATTAAATTTATAATAAAAGAAAAACAAAATGATAATATTATATATAAAATATTAAAAAAATACATAAATTATTTTTGAATTCATTGTAATGAATATTAATTTTAAAATATAAAAAATTTATAATTTTAAGAGAAAGTAAAATTTTAATCATATATTAAATGAATAATATTAATTATTGTTATTTTTATATATATCACTTTACTTCAAAAAGTTTCTCATCATTTTAAAAAGGAATTAAATTACTCTCTAAAATAGTGATGCAATCACTTTCTGTGAATCATGATTTGCCACATAAGATCATGCTTTCCAAACACAATGATCTAACTAATTACTATCAGAATGACCACCCATACTAAATATTATTTAAAAATAATTATATGAATTAATTAAATTTAATTTAATAGTCACAAAACTTGAACTTTAATATCATATTAAATAACCAATATAAAATTGATTAACAATAAATGCAAAGACCAAACTTGTGTTTTCTAACATTTTTCTATAATCTGCATTGCACTAGCTAAAGAATAATAGGTTTTCGAGATTTATTTGATCCGGTTCTAAGATCAAGTAACCAGTACAGACTCCATTTGTAATAGGAATAGTACTAAAGCTAGACAATTATTTTATTTTGTTGAATAAAGTAAACAAGAATTTAAAGAAAACAAGTAGAACAATGAAGGCGAATAAGTAGTAATTGCAGAAGAAATAGTAAGTAATTTTATGTCATTACTGGTAGTGGAGCATGCACACACGCACAACACACAGGTTGGCAGAGGAAACGCAAGCTGAGGTTTGATGGTTGATGAAAGTCTGCTTTTGTGGTACGGACGGAAGCCTTTTCTTTTCTTTTTCAAAAAAATTCTCAGTGCATTCCAGGACTCTGCTTTCATTTCTGAGTCTACTTTCTTTTTATTCTTTAATTGATTTTATTTTCCTTTCTTCTTTTTTTTTTTGTCATGTATCATGTTTTTTAGTCTTCAGTTTTCCTTCTTCATAAACAATTGCTGAATTAACGCATAAAACTCCTTTTTGGATAATCATTAAAAAGGGTTACATTAATTTGTAATGGAATAGTAGTCAGGATATGTTTTCGTTTACCATTACTTAATGGTTACTTATGGTTAACCACCTTGGGATAGTTTAGGTAGTTTTTTATAGGTAATTTTGAGTTATATATATGTATAAAGTTATAACCCTAAAACAATTAAAAAAATATAGTTTAAAAACAAATTAAATATAAAAACTCAAGCACAATATTACGAATAGTAATAAGTTATAACAGGCAAAGGGCTAATAGTTAATTAAAAAAAAACGAGCTAAATTCTCTTCTGAATGACAGATTGAAAAAAATGAGATAAAAAGAGTAAATTCCTAGTTCATAATTTTGGTGAGACAATGAATGAAGACGAATCGATATTAGGTTTGGATGATGTCATTGAATTCAGCTGGAAAACTAACGAATTCAACGCATTTAGAATCCCATGCCAAAAAACAACAGACAAGATGAGATGTTCCTTAAAATTTGCTGTGTTTTTTAGAACTTAATTATTAGGAATTAATAGTCTCACCAAAACTTTGGGGCTAAAAAAGTGGAAGTGGTACAAGGTCTCATAAATTCTGTAAACTGCACATATTATTTACACCCTGTATCGTATTAAATCAATCAATTCAAGCAGACATATGAACAAAAAAAAAATCAATTCGAGCATAGACACATAAGCTGTTACTAGTCTGACCAAAATTTGGGGGTAAAGCAGAGGAAATTATAGAAGGTCCAATCAAATTCTTCAATTACATCGTAGTCATTATTAGTCTCACCAAAACTTGCGCTAAAACATGGGTGAATTGTATACGATCTGTTTCCTTCTTCCAATCTCGATTTGGTAGGATGGGTATTTTGTTTGAAACTCAAACATGGATTTAGAAGTAGGTCTAAGATGTATCCTCCGATCTCGAAATATAATATATAATATATTTATCACATTAATTTAAAATTAATTGATTATAAGTAGAATGATTCAATTCGAATATAAAATTATAAGATATTAAAAATTTATTATATGTGAGATAATTAATTTTAACAGGGTTTCATCATGCGTAGACAAAGATAAAAGAAAGCTTCTACATAACAAATTGAGAAAGGACAATAAAATTTTTTTTTTAATTTTGATACCATATTAAACATCTAACTCATAATCAATTGATTATAAGTGAAGAAATTCAACTTAAATATAAAACTATAAGATATCAAAAATTTATTAGATGTGTGATAATCTATTTTAACAAATAAATATCAAATATCCTATAATTTTATATTCAAGTTAGGCCCATCCACTTATAACTAATTGATTATAAGTTAAATGCTTAATATGATATCAATCTATCAAAGCTAGACTTTATTTTCGTTGCCATTTCCTAATTTATCACGTGAAAATGCTTGTTTCATATTCTCTTACACGTGATTGAGACTTGTTAAAGTGGGTTATTTCACATCTAATGAATATCAAATATTTTGTAATCTTATATTCAAGTTAGATCATTTTACTTACAGCTAATTGATTGTGAATTTGATGCTTAACAATGTAATATGTTAATTAAAAATTCATTTAAGATAAAATAATAATAATAATAATAATAATAATAATAAATTTAAATTTTATTATTTTATTTATATAATTTTTTTATTTTTATCACGGTTAAAATAAGAATGTGAACTTGAATTGATATCAAAATAAATTTTTAGTGTTTAATTTGTATTCAAATAAAATTTTACATTTAATTTATATTTAAATAAATCTTTAATATAAATTAATTTTTTGTTTGAAATAAAACTTATTTGACTATAAATTAAAAGATAAAAAATTCTTTTAATGTAATAAAAATATAAAAACTTAATAAAAAATGAAATGGATTAATGGCTTTTTTAAGTATTTTAGCTATTAACTTATTAATATAATGCATTTAACGTGATTAAGATATGATTTATATAAACAAATATTTTTTCAAAAAAGTTATTAATATAAATTTTGTATTTAATTGAACGAAATACATATTATAAATTTATATTTTGAGTTGGATTGAAATATTAAAACATATAACTTTATAATAAATAAAGAACAGATTTTGATACGGAGAATATTACTTAGAATAATTAAATTATAATTATTTAATAAATTTTAAAATTACATTAAATTTATAAAAAATTTATATGAAATTTATATTTATAATTGATAAATTTTTACATAATTTTTTTATTATAATTAAATAATTACAAGATTATAATAAAAAAATTTTATGTGAAGTACTTCCTTAGAGTGAAGGCACCAAAAAATTGGGTACGCTAACATAAGCATAAAATTGCCTTACTCCGTCCCACAACTATGAATAAGAACGTGTTTAGAGAAAAAATTTAGATGACGTATTTTTTTGGATGAAATCTATGAATTTTAAAAAAATAATTTAATAAATAATTTAACAAAAAATCTAAGTCAATATATTAATAGAATTTAATATAAAAATTAATAATATTTATTTAAAAAACATAAAAATTTTAAAAATTTTATACATTTAATTTATGTAATAAGATTTTTTAATTTATCAAATTGAATTTTTATTTTTATTTTTAATAAAAATATAATAAATTTTACTTAAATAATTTATTTAAATCTTTCACATAAATATATATATATATATATATAACTGCAATTGTAACAGAGCAAGTGATAGTCTATTGGTTAAAAGGAAGTCTTGGTTTATTTGGTTGCAATTGAGCAGGAGGTGTGTCAGGGAAGTGCACTCAGAGGGAGAGGAAAATACTGTTCACTCTCTCTTTCTCTGACCCAAAACACATGCCTCTTCTCTCTCTCCTTTATTTCTTTCTTTACTGTTCTCTCAACCAACCGCTCATCCTTTCATTGCATATTTCCTTGGAACACATGCCTTTCCATATTAGTCACAGTCATGAGTCATCTTCTGTTGTGAAGCATCTTATTGACAGTTTGGGACTTTGGGGGGTGCAGCTAACTCAGACTCCGACATAGTTGGTCCAATAAGAAAAAGGTTTTACCTGAGATGGTTTGGGGTTTTGACCGAGATAACCCAGACTTCCTATGAAAATTTATGAGTCAGTGATTTAGCAGTGTGTTCAAATCCTTTTAACTTAATGCTATCATTGTTACTCATCACCAAACTCGTAAAACTTCCTCTACTATTAGTACATCCATTAATTAAATATTAAGTAGAAATAAAAGTGAGAAGTGGTATAATGCAATTGCATCCTTTTGGCAATTCCTCTATGAACAAATGTGTCACATCATCACCCTGTGAAAGAAAGAGATTGGCCTCGATTAAGAAATATTACGGATTTTTTTTATGTACTTTATGAATTAAAATTTATGAACTGACTGGTGCAGTTGGAAATTGGAAGCGTTGGATCAACCAATTGGAATTAAAAAAAAAAAAGTGAACTCACTTGCTTTCTAATGGATCTGTCCATGCAAGGGGCTATTTGCTCGGCCCATGGGCTTGGCTGTTGATAAAAATTTTCAAGTTTGGGGTTCCGGAAGGTCATGGTCATGACATTATTTAATATTAATTTTAAAATTTTAAAATATTTTTAAGCTTATTTTATAAAGATAGCGACGAGTTAGATAAGAACGAATTTTTATTCATTTTAACTTTAAATAATAAATACTTGAATTTGATCCAATTTAATATTAAAATATTATTTTTATATTTGACTCAATTCAATACATAAATACATATTATCGTAATTAATTGAATTTATTTGAAATTAATAAAATATTATTTTTTAATATAAATATATAATTAAATTAATTATAAAAAAATTATATATATATATATCGGATTGAATTGAGACGATATTATAAAAAGCTCAATCTTGACTAAACAAAAATAAACATAATTTTATTCAAAACTCAATTAAAAAAAACTTATAAAATTGAAACGAATCGAAATCTAACAAATTCGGATTGAATTATCACCTCTACTATTTTAGCTCGATGGATCGGGACTCGAGCAAGATTTAAAAAAAAAATCAGCAAAATCTTTTTGGGTACGGCTGGATGCATGAACACTTCAATTTCATAGAAGCCCAAAGAGAAAAAATGCCTCGACAGCCAGGCTGATTATGAGCATTGCAACGAAAGTAAATAACATTATTAATGCCAATAATTTGACAGATGGTAAACTCTGGCTAGAGAACTTAGCCCTAAAGGAAAAGCAATTCGTACGGTCCACACATTAGTTCCAGGGTTGCAATTTGAAGGACGGCAAGACCTGTTTAGGATCCTTTCATGCATTTAGCTGTCACGATGTCGTCTTGTGAAGTACGATTTGGCTTTTTTGCCATGTGACTTTGGACCACGCATGATGAAATTCCAATCTCCGTACATAATTTCCACACTGTTTCCCATTTTACTTTTGGAATTAATTCCAGTGAATCGGACGAAAAAACTTGAAATTCAAGAATTCAGCAACACCCTTTTTCCCAGATGAATGGTTTAGATTTGAGAGGTTTGAAAAATATGCAGTGATCTAATCCATTATTTTAAGAGCAAACTCAGATTATGAAACACTAGGACGTTTGATGAAGCCATTTCCGTTGCTTCGACGAGGCTGGCTAATCTTTTTCATCAACGTAGCACCTACTACAAAGGGAAAAGGACAGGATGTTTCCACTGCGCATGCGAGGAGGTTTGTGGTCCTCCTTCATTCGTTTGTCTCCCTCCGTCCTTCGTCGACGATTCGACATGACCATGCCGTTAAATTGCGACCATATATGATTCCATTTGCCAGCAAGTTTCCGGTAGTAGTTTAGAGGTGTTAGGATTTCATATCCATGTATCACATTGACTAGAAAGACTGCTTAAAAAAGGTTTATAAAGGATAAATCCTTCAAAAAACGATTATAAAAGATAATCCTTCAATCACATGTAATTTAAGTTTTGGTGTTTTTGTTATTTGTCTTTATTTTCAGTTTATTTTTGTATTTGTGATTTTTATTAAAAAATTACAAATAAAAATAAAGCATCGACCAAATAAAACCTTAATCATTTCAAGCGCAATCAAATTGCTAGGGTTGTCATAATGGATGAATAAATATTTAATATCAAATATATGTTCATAACACTTAATTACATCACATAATAATATGATATTGCGAACATATGCAAATGATAAAAAAATTTCAATATCAAAATGCAATCATAATCATAACACTTAATTACAAGTATAATGACTTGATGTGAAAATATTAAATAATAATGGATTAAGAAATATTTAATATTAAATATGCATTCATAAAACTTAATTACAAGTGTAACGACTTGATGCAAAAATATTAAATAATAATGGATTAATAAATATTTAATATTAACTATGCATTAATTACAGGTATAATAACTTTATGTTTATGTGAAAAACTGAAAATATTACTCATTTTATCTCATTTTTGTCTATGTTTTTGCGTCTGAAAATTAAGTTTTATTTTTTTAATAATTAAAACTCTTATTTTTGTATTTTTAATTCTTTTTAACAGTAAAAATCATAAAACATCAATATAATAAAAATTTTAGTAACATAAAATATATTAAAATAAAAAATTTTCTTAAATTACATAAAAATAAAAAAGAGACATGTAAAATAAGACGAAGGGAGTAAATAATAAAATTTTCCCATTTTCTTTATTCTTAATTCTCTAACGGTTTCTATATATTCCAATCAAAACCTCTCAAAAAAGCAAACCACCACACTACCAAAAAGAAGAAAACAATTCCCCACTCCAAAAAAAAAAAAAATGCTACACGTTCTGTTCCTTTTCTCCCTTATCCTTACTTCCACTCATGTCCTTGCACAGGACTTTTGCGTTGCAAACCTGAAAGGAGTACAGACCCCGTCAGGTTATTCGTGCAAAATGGAATCGAAAGTCACAATCAAAGACTTCGTGTTTACGGGCCTAGGCGTGGAAGGAAACACCACGAACATTATCAAAGCTGCGGTGACCCCTGCATTCGTGGGTCAATTTCCAGGGTTGAATGGGCTAGGCATATCTGCCGCACGGTTGGACCTGGCTCCAGGTGGTGTAGTCCCAATGCACACTCACCCTGCTGCAACCGAGCTTTTGTACGTGGAGCACGGTCACATTACTGCTGGCTTCATTTCCTCATCAGCTAATACTGTTTTCTTGCAGACACTGAAAAAGGGAGATATTATGGTTTTTCCGCAAGGGTTGTTTCATTTTCAAATAAATTTTGGCAAAAGGCCATCCCTTGCTATTGTTAACTTCAACAGCCCGAATCCTGGTCTCCAAATCCTTGATTTTGCTCTCTTTGCCAATGATTTGCCTTCGGACTTGGTGGAGAAAACCACATTCCTTGATGATGCTCAAGTGAAGAAGCTTAAGGGTGTTCTTGGTGGTTCTGGCTAGGCATAGCGAAGAACTGTTAAATATTTCATTACTATTTCATGTATTTGCTATTGTTTTTTTTTTTTTTTTCAAATTTCTAACGATGTCATTTTATGGAATTCGATGTTGTGTTTTTCAATTCATGATTCTCAATTTTCAATTCATTAAATAAGAAAGATTTCACAAAATTAATTAGTATAGGAGAAATATAGCACCCAGTTCATATCTATAATGAAGCTATCTAAGATTCTTAAAACGAAAATTCAAATTTAATTTTTCAAAGGAGATCTTGAGTTCTAATTTCAATCGTAAGTCAAAACAAAAAATAAATATTAAATCAAATGCATCCATGTTTATATTTTTGGAGGAAGCAAAGGAGGATTCTTATATTTTTTGAAGAGGACAAAACTTATAATTGCCGACAGAGTTGGCTACTCAAGAAAATGATAATCTTATCTATATTTTCTATGGTTGAGGCGTTTGCAAGTCAACATAAAACTTACCTAGATACCTTTTTTTCTTCTTGTTGGAAACTAGTTGTATGTTATATTCTTATAGCTAAAGCCAAATTCCAAAGCCTATAAATTTAAATATCTGCTTTTTACTTTTATTTAGTAATAAATATCTATTTTATATTTTAAACTTAGATAATTTTTTTTTGCATGTTAACAAATAGACACATAACAAGAATCCAAAATTTAATTCAGTTATTCTTAAGTGACATTTAATGAATCTAGAATTTAAATATTAATACTTGCAATTCAATTTCTTATATATCCCATGCTATGACTTCCTTGATTAAAAAAAGAAAAAGAAAAATAGACACCAAAAATATACATTTTCATGGCATTTTTTCATGTATTACTTTTCTTTTTGTTAATATATTATTAATAACAACCTTTTACTATACATTTTGGACCAAAATGTTTTATTAATAAGATTTGCTTTCAAAGTCAAGTTCTATCATTGTGTATAGATTTGTGAATTATGGACTACTCATATATAATTCAACCTTTATCAATATAATAATAGTTATGTATTTACCCAAATTCTTACTCATAATTTATATTTACTTTATTTTTTTATGTACAAATTCTTTCTCATCTTTCTAGTTAAATTTTAGTTGATTAGAGATTGAAAAAATTATGATCTATACAAATATTGGGTTACTTATATATATAAATTAATCAAATTTGATTGTAACTTACTTTAATTTATTAATTATTAACTGATGGAGATCTCCTTGATTGGTTGTCAGTTGTCATTAATTTATTAAACTTTTGATTGGTACGTATATAATCACTAATTTATTAGTAAACTTTAATGATCTACATTGCGACCTAAAAAACTTTAATTATCTACTTGATTTGTAGGCATTAACTTATCAAATTTTGCGATTATAATCATGAGGTAATTAAGGTTGGATATAGTTAGATATGTCCATGGTAGGGTCTTAAACAATATTTTTTAGCTCAAATTTGATTTGATTTGACTAAAATATTATTTAATTAATAAAAAATAATTTTATTTAATTTTCATTTTAAAGCTTATATAAAAGTATTAAATTTTAATATTTTAATATATATTTTTAGATGTGTAGGCTCATTGAGTCGAGATAAGTTTTGAATAGAGCTTTTAAAAAGTCAATTAAAATTAACTCAATCCAATCCATGAATATTTCTAAATATAACTTATACATCTTAAATAGAGAATTATTGTTTATCAATATATATATATATATATATATATGTATAAATCCTTTTAGCAAGATAATTTGAATTCCTGTATAAAGATAAGAGATGTAGGTATTCTAAGTATTTAGTATGAGAACCATGCACTTGATCATTTGATTTGAAGATTGTTGTATGATTTATCCTTTAAAAAATAGAATTTGAATCTTTCTTTCTAAAAATTTATAAGAAAACGTGACATAGAGACATGAAATCCCCTTTTATTATAGAAAGTATTAATAACAACCCATCCCTATTGCCTCTTGGAGTAGGTTTAGCTTCACCGTGAAATTCCATTTGGCTTGGCTTCTACTAAAACGACTTTGGCTTCTATTCGAAAAAAAAGAAAAGAATAATTACTCCTGCAATATTAGATAATAAAATGGAACCATGCAAGAGAAAAACATAACTTGCAACTTTTAATTGTGGTATCTTTTCATTCCCTTAGTTATATGGGTACTTTGGTTAATGCTTGCGAGAATTAAATAGAAGGTTAATGAAAAGAATAAAAAAAGTTATATATAAATGTTAATGGTACATTAAATTTTAGCTATATATAGTAACCATTCATTTAAACAATTGCAATTTTTTTGTCAAAGAGTTTTTTTTTTTTTTTTTGTACTTAAAATTGTCAAAATTTAAATATTAATTATTGAAATTAAAAGTCTAACATTTTACCTATAATCCAACATTTTTTTAATTATCGTAACATTTATTTGGAATTAAAATTTTTTATACTTCGTCTTGACTCTCCTTCGCACCAATTCGTTGCTCCGCTGCCAAGCAATAGGAATTAGGAATCATTCTTTTCTGGCTAAGCCCAAAAACACATTAACTCTTTTTTTTTTTTTTGAAACATTAGCTTTTAAAACTAACAATAATTTATTCTTTGCTTCTTTGCCATATCATTTCTAAAAGTTGAGGTAAACCTAAGGAAAAGAACAAACTTTGTGGGGATTTTTTAAAATAAAGTAAAAGAAAAATTAAGAAATCGATTAAGCATGAAACTAGTGTAAATTACATTTTTGGGTAATAATGGATAAAATGGATAGTTTAATTTGTTTCATAAGTAATAAACCTCTCTATAAGATATTCCTACACTCGTAAAGTGTTGCCAATAAAATTTATTGAGTTTCAAAACTCAAAAGATGTGAATTCAATTAATAGAAAAATTGGTTGAATAAATGATCACTATAATCGAAGAGTTACAACTCTTGATTAAGTTTGTTAAAGTGGATTATTTCACATCTAATAAATTTTTAATGTTTTGTAGTTTTATATTCAGGTTAGGCCCTTACATTTACTATTAATTGATTTTAAGTTGGATGCTTAATATGGTATTAGAGTCAAGACTTTTTTTTCTTTGTCTGGATTATCCCATATCTAATAAAATTTTAACATCCTATAGCCTTATATTCACTCTTAACATATGATGAAAAATTTATTCACTCTACAAACTTTCCTCACCTCATGTGAAATAGATCAAGCATCTTATGCATTAGGAAATGTTTAGTGGTTTTATTTCATTAATGCAAAATAAAATCAAATACAACACATGCTTAATTTTATGCTATAATTATTCTATTCATCCTATTACACACCATAAGAGTGAGGAGGAAATAAATCTAAAAAAAAAAAAAAGTGACATTTGCAATAGATTTTGAAATCATATTCTCTCATATTATGATTTTTCATTTTACACCCATCAAACTCACTAGTACAACAGATTTTTCAACTGATTAAACCTCAATCTTCATTAAGAAATTATAGAAAATGCTAAGATTTTTTTCTATTGAAGTTACTAAACATTGGCAGTGAAGGTTTATAAAAGAGATCATGGAATTGGAGGATTTATTCTTAGCTTCATGTCACACGCTGCTCGCGCGTACCCTTTTTCACTTACAGGAATAATTGTCTTTAGTAGATTTTACATTTTACTATAATCCGTCTTTAATTTTCTTTTCTTTGTGCTATTCACTTTCGTATAAGAAAAAACAAAAGCATCTAAAAAAGTTTCTAGAATATATATGCATTGCAAGTTATTCTCCCCACTCCTTTTACACGTATAAATAAAGAATTGTGGCCATGAGACCTTATCAAGTGCTTAATTATATCTTTCCTTTAATCCTTTTTGCCAAGTTCAGTTATATTAAAATTTTCAACTACAATTCTTTGCCAGATAGCTTCTGTTCTTGGTGATTAGTACTCCTTGATGAAAAGCTTTTGACGAAGTAAGTTCCATATCCCCTCTCATGAATCCATATATATATATATTTATATATATGAAAAGCTTTTGACGAAGTAAGTTCTATATCCCCTCTCATGAATCCATATATATATATATATATATACTAATATTAAACCTTCTACTTAAGTTGATGTCACAAGTTAACTGGACACAGCAACTCAGTGTGATGAATTTACTTAAAGTTACAATAATAAAATGCAGGGTATATGTCTTTTATTTTTTGAAAAACTACCCACACGTTTAATATCATCTGACAACTTATACCCCTTTATTTTCTTTTTTAAAACATATGTTTTTTCAATTCACTTTTTTTTATATCATTTTCACGCACATCGTGAGTGTACAGTATCTAGTATATGTTAAAATATTTTCAAAATATAATAAAAAGAATTGATGTTGATTGATTAAACATGATGTATTAATCAATGGAATAAAAAACTAATGATTGAGAAACAATACAATAGTTTTGGAAATGTTTCGAAAAAAGGAAATCGATTTAAGACAAGAAAAATCAATTGGAAAAGCTTCTAATAAAAGGCAGTCAGAAAACCCATGTATGACAATTTGAATTTCATGCTTGAAAAATAATTTGGAAGAAAAATAAAAATGAAGTTGTTACAATTGATTCCAATAGACTCTATACGTACTTGAACATACTACAAGTTTTAAATTCTTTCTCTTTCATTCTCAGATCAAGTTTCTTAATTTCCTGTTGAAAATAATGTATAAGGAAAATTATTTTTCATTCATTAGAAAGCAATTAGAGGTTTGTTTTCATTAAGAGAAATTATAAAATATATTGACAATATAATCTTTTAATTCACAAGTGGAGTTAAGATTGTTATACTTTTTTTGTATATATTAAATAAAAACTAATTTAAAAAAAAATGGATAAATGTCATCATCTTAACTCAGCTTGTAGAGTTAAAAAATTTTCATTGTCAATATATCAAATAAAATTTTAATTAATGTAAAAATGAAATCAAATAAAAAATTTATTGTATCCTATTTCTATCCTATTCACTTGGTTACACATCATAAAAGATGAAACAAAATAAGTCTAAAGTCAAGTAACATTTACAACACATATGAAATTTATGTTCTCTCGTATTAGCCAGTTCAATCGTCTATTCATAAAGTGAAATTTTGAAATAATTCAAATAAAAACAAATCGCCTTTTTATTGAATATTGTATAATTTTAAATTTAAGTAAATAAATTAAAAATATTATTAAAAATTGTAAATCTTCAAATATGAAATATCAGGGAATCAAACAGATACATTTGGTTACAATCTGTTTATAGGATATATAGTTATATTTCTGAAAAATTAAAATACTTTAAACTAATTATTTTTTTTCCCAAAAGCGAGTAAAGCCAATGTGTATACAATCCTAGCCCTGATCTCGTAAAGATTAAAATATATTATTTTTATCTACTTACATTAAATTGAGGAAACATAATTAAATGTTAAATTAATAATAAAAATAAAAAGTGGATTTCTTTCATTTTATGTACACTCACATTTGCATCCAAGCAGTTTACATACATTACACAGTCTAAAGTGGGAGTCCCCAAAGGCAAGAAGCATCAAACAGGGCGAAACAAGTTCCGAGAAGAGCGAACAATGCTACTTCAAAGTAAGAATGACTTATCCTTTGCATTTTATATTTGTTTATAAGAGTTCATTAGGTAATTTGGATTATCTTTAATTGGGTGAATTTGACGTCTTAATTGTTTAAGTATCATCGTTTAAGGCTAGCCTGCATGCATGCATAAGAATACTAGACCAAAATGCATATGGTCTTAATCTAATGATTATCATGCGGTAAGGAAACATTGGAAATTTTAAACATCGTTCATAAATATGATTTTTATAATTTATAATTAGATCTTACATATATTAATAGTAATGATTGTATTAATAAATAATAAATAAGAGCGTAACCGATGTTTATAATATATTGTATTGTACAAAAAATCGTTAATTAAATGAGTAAGAAAAAATAAAAATAATGAGAATTAACGAAAAAGAAAAAAAGTTGGAAGATAGAAAATATGATATTTTACACAAAAGACAAAAAAAAAAAGTTATAACTTCATTACAAAGGGATATAAAGTGGAAAGTGGAGTCATTTCTATGTGAAAAAAAAAAAAAAAAAAAACGTTGAACTCAAGCCAGTGAAAGCGATGCGTCATGTTTTCTTATGCCATGGGAGCTGTTTTGCTTGATTGGTTCACTTTTTTTTTTTTAATCAAATGATTGGCTCACTTTTTCTTTTTAATGATATGATCAGGTGTTCAAATTTTATTGGAAAATTGTAAAATAATTCTAACAGCTTATGCTTTCGTATTTTCTCATATCATTATTATGCATTTAAATATTTTGCTTTCAAAATAAAATCAAACATTATTGGCTCACTTCTCATCAAATATTCAATCTCGTTATGACCCATCGTTTTATAGATTTAATGGATAGTTTGAACAAATTTACTTAGATACTATTATTATTCATGAAGTAAATCCTAATACAGTAAAATGTTAGTGGATGAACGTTTCTGATCCTCATTAATTTTATTTTTATCTCCTCGCCATAAATTTTAAATTTTTTGTATGAATTTGCATGCAGTTGCCAGCGGTGTGATCTTAGCTGATCTAACTAGCAAAGCCACATCAAACAGTAAACTTTCACAAGCTGACAAAGAATTCTGGAAAAAGCTCCAGCTGTATGCGCTCATTTTAGTCAGCCTCTCTCTACAGTTTGTTCTCCTAAGAATTGGTTATGCAAGAAGATCATCAAGGAAAGGCTCACTTTGGCGTTCCTACCTTGTTCGGCCAATATATTTATTGGCAGACTGGGCGGCCACTGTTTCACTAGCTACCCTTCTGAAGCGTGAACAGTTGAAGGTGAATGAAATGGAAGTATTCTGGGCACCGTTCCTTGTCCTGCACCTTGGCAGCACTGAAAACCTTGCTGCCTATTTCACAGAAGACTCTGATTTGTGGTTTAAATACCTGGTCGGCCTAGTTATCCAATTTGGGATGGCTATTTATTTGTTCTGGAAGTTCCACGCTGGCTCCGGTTCCATGACATATATAGCTATTCTGGTATTTATTGCTGGGTTCGTCAAGTGTGGAGAAAGGATATGGTTTCTTAGGTCCTCAACCTTCAAACAACTAAAAGACTCCATGTTGTTAGCTAAACAATCAAAACTGCTTGCAACAGCTACCGATCAGGACATGATTACTAAGGGGTCTAAGGAGAGGCTGGAAGAATATCTTGAGCGTAAACAGATTGATCCAAAATTCAGATATCTCCATCAGGCGGAGTTACTATTTAAGGTCTTCATGCCCGTCTTTGCTGATCTTAGACTTAGGGTTTACAATAAATTATCTTACGTTTTCTGCTTACATCGGTCACAGGGAGCGGAAGAGGCCTTCAAAATAGTAGACACTGAACTGGAATTTTTGCATTCCGCGTTTTACTCCAAGACTATCATATTAAACCCGTCATTGGGCTTCGCCTTACGCTCCATCTGCTTATTTTCTTCTCTTTCAGCACTCATTGCTTTCTCAGTTGCAGTGAATCACCTTATTGATCTTCATAGTGATAATGCCTCAAGTATCGACATTGGCATAACTTACGCACTGTTGTTTGGAGCTATTTTTGCAGACATCTATGCACTCGTTGCTCATGTATTCTCTAACTCCACAATCGTCTGGTTGACCGCTTCCAAAAATAGGGTAGCCAGGTTTTTGTATGCGACTGTTGTTTCTAGATTTGGTCACAAGGCCAAGAGAGGAATAGAATCCGTGGCACAGCTTAGCCTGCTAGATTATTGCATCAATTCCAGATGGAAAACCAAGTTTAGGAACATATTTGACAAACAGGATATTTTGGGCAAGTATTGGCATACTACGTGGCGGCATGTGGATAGTGATTTGAAGGAGGCAATCTTTAGTCATCTCCTCTTTGTACTCGAAGGGTATCGAGAAACAGGATTTGATTACAAGTATTTGCGTGAAAGACTGAGTGCGAGAGGTTATGATGCAGCCAGTAAATATGCTCAGGCTCCTGATTTAACAAGTAGCTTGACTGACATGGAATTTACCCACAGTATCCTCGTTTGGCATATTGCGACGGACATTGTTTATCATGCAGATCGTCTAGCACGTCGAGCTGGGGCCCTTGGTCCATATTGTCAAATCAGCAAGCAATTATCTGGTTATTTGATGTACCTTCTCTGTATGCGTGCATCCATGCTTCCTGAAAGTACTACTAAGTTAAGGCTACGTGATACCTGCCTTGAAGCAAGACAATTTTTTCCTGAAGGCCTTGAATTTGATCAAGCTGTTCTGGTAATGTGTGGTATTGACACCGAAACTCGATCATTCTTCGTCGAGATGGGAAGTGAACGGAAGTCTTCATTCTTTGAAGGATGCCAACTCGCCGGTCATTTGCAATCTTTGGTGTCAGTCTTTCAATGGGATCACGAAGAGAAATGGGAAATGATCGGCAAGATATGGCTGGAAATGCTGACTTATGCTGCAAGTAAATGCGAATGGAAAGAGCACGTAAAACACCTTAAGCAAGGTGAAGAGTCGCTCACCCACGTAGCCCTTCTCATGGCACATTTTGGTTTAAGTAAGAAAATCAAATTTGTGCCCTTGCCCCTACGTCTTGAGGAAGTCGGCTTTGAGCCAGTCTGGTATTGGGGTAACCTTGACCGATTGGCTTATTACTTAGCTTAAGATATAAAATCTCTCCTCCAGTCACAGGCTTTGCTTTATTTAATTAGTTATTTTATACAAGACTGTTTGTAATTAGAGGTTGTTTTAATTAATGTGTTGCTTCCATTGATTATACAAAATAATAAAGTTGTAATTCCTCAAAATACTCCTTAACTGATTTTATTCTCCTTTTCATTTCGTTAAATTGACTGATACTTTTGCTATTTATTTATTCGTAAAAATAATAAAAAAGTAAAAACTAGAAAATAGTAATATTTTGAATTGAGGCATGTTAAAATACTTTTATTTTAATCTTTTAAAATATCTAGACAATTTCTCTCTTATCACTATTATAATAACTCTTTTTTAGAGTATTAAGATATTTGGAATTTATTTTGACTAAATGATAAAAATTTTACATTAATAATTTTTTATTTAGTTTTTTTTAAAATTTTTTAATATCATTTTTTTACATTGACAATTTAATTGTTTATAGTATAATGATGTCTTTTATGTTTGTTTTTATCTTCTATTACATTTAATATTATCATAACTTTTTCTTAAAATATTACGATACTTTTAAATCATTTTATGATAAATTATATCAAATTTACAATTATTATCACAATTTACATAACAAATTTTTTATTTTTAAATATCAATTCTTTTGCATTTTTAATTTAATTAATTACGTTAAAATAATAATTTTTATATTTATTCTTATTTTTCATTACGATTAGATTTTTTTTCTCAGCCAATGATTTAATTAATGCAAAATTATCAATACATAGGTACCACATTCCTGCATAAGACAGGTGCTTCTTCTACGTATACAAGAATACTAAACAATACACAAATCACCCCAAAGCAGCACAGCCAGAAATATTCATTACAGCCAAGCATGAAAAAAGTGAAGCGCTATCCACACCCATTCTTGACGGGGAGTCTGCCACATTTTTTGCTTTCATATACATGTGCACAAAATCCACCATTCCAATTACCTCACAGAATTTATCAATATCTTCAAATATTTTCCATTGCTCCTACGGTCGAGTTTTCTTCTTGCACACCCAGCCAACAACCACCTTTGAATCAGACTCAATAATTAAAGCATTTATTTTGACCCAAAGGGATAACTGAAAATACCTCCAGGACTGTCTTTATGGCCATTTCTCTGCTCTATTTGAATCATGTTCCCTCAACGGACCATAGAACAATTTTCTAATATTTCATGTATAATCCCTTAGGACTCCCCCACACCCAGTCGGGCCTGGTTTCCCCTAGCAGACCCATCCACATTGAACTTATAAAGCACAATGACACTCAAGCAAGACCATTGCACTCCAATTCTTACCCTACCAGTTCTCCTCGGTTAGGACCACCATTCAGCTTCAGTCAACATTGACAACCCTTCTATTGCTTTTACAAAGTAAAGTTCTCAACTAATCACAAATAATATTCCTTCCCCATCCCAACCGCTCCCATTACAGACACTCATTCCTCGCTAACCATAAGGCCCATAGAGTAGCCCCGCACACTGATAACCACCTCTTTTTTCTTACTCCTGCAAATGAAGCATTTTCACATTGACACACCAGATCCTCCACATGCTTTGGAAGCACCCCTTACAGCTCCCACCACTTAAAACACCAGAACCCAAACAATCCAGGAGTAGTGACATGACACCAGAACATTGTCACAATCTTCCTCAACCAATCTGCACCAGTTGCATACCATCTGGCTTTCTTCAAAGGTTCCTTGATCTAAGGAAGCTCTCTGACGAGGTACTATTCTTAATTGCCATCCAAATAAAATTTTGAACTCTTGGGGGAATGTTATATTTCCAAATGGAATTGAACCATACCAGCTGATCAGAATCGAGATTTTGGCAGTCCAAGGTTGTTGCTAACTGATTGACCGGGAACAAGCCTCCTTTATCTGGTTCCTAAATACATTTACCTTTTATATTCACCCTCAGGGAAACATCTCTCACGATTAGCTTCATACTTTTCAGCAAATCTTCTTCCCATTCAAATAGCGGTCTTCTAAATTGAAAATTCCATTCCCTTGAGTAGACACCCAATTTGATCCGGGCCCAGATCAATTGGACTTGATCCAAATAGGTAAGCTCATTTATATTTATATTTATATTTATTTATTTATTATTATTATTATTTATTAATATATAAATATTTTTTAGTTATTTATCTATTAACATATTTTATTATTTATCTATTAATATATATTTTTATTATTATTTATCTATTCATATATTATTATTTATCTATTAATATATATTACTTTTTATCTTTTTCTTGATTGATTTTCGGTTGGGATTAGGATAAAAAAATTAGAATTCTACTGTGAATTTGGGATTCAATCAGGGTCCAGATTGGATTCAAAGATTGAATCTCAATCCAAGATGGAATTGGAATTGATCAGAAACTCTTCTGATCAATCTTTATAAATAGATCCATAAATCACAAAGAACAGAACACAGAAACACACACGGGGAGAGAGAGCAAAAAGAAAAGAAAAATGGGTGTTCAGAAGGGTTAGAAGCAATTTTAGGAGTTTTTTTTTTTTTTTAAATTTTGGAGAATTTTAGGCGATTTTTTTTTTTGGAAATTTCTGAAAAATTATCAGATTCCGGTGAATTTCTGACGATATTTGAATTTTTTGGTGACTTTTTTGGCACCGGTTGAATATTTCGACCAGCTACCCAGTTTTCAACGTACTATTTCTAAAAATCGATCAATTTTTTGATGAACTTTCAGCGAACAACTCAGATTTCGGTAATATTTTTTAGAATCCGACGAGATTCAACATGTGTTCTTGATTTTTTCAAAGAGAAGAAAAAGAAAAACGAGGAGAAGAAAAAGAGGAAAATAAGCAATCTATAGAAAAACAGAGGTTGGAGCCTTTTATAATGCCGTAAAACGACGTCATTTTGGCATTAGTAAATTCACAGGATCCACGCATTTTGTCAAGATCCAACCTAACTCAATCGTGACCCGATCCAGCGATCTGCATGGTAAGTTTCCCCTGGAGTTGAGCCGAGCTGAGCCGAGCCGAGCCGACGTCCCTGAGCCGTGTCTTCGAGCCGTCTTTTCTGTCTTGAGCTGAGCCGTTTCCCAATCAAGCCGAGCCGTTCCAAAGGGTTTTATTTATTTATTTATTATTATTATTTCTTTTATTATTAGTATTATTGATGTTATTATTATTATTATTAGATTAAAATTATTTAGTATTTTTTATTTTATTTTATTTTTATTTTATTTTATTTTATTTTATTTTATTTTTTGATTTTTTTAAATAAAATTCCAAAAAAAAATATTTTCGAGGAAAAGTTGAAAGTATCAATTTTCTTTGAAAATAAATTTTTTAAAAAGCATTTTCGAGGAAAAGTTAAAAATATCGATTTTCTTTGAAAATAATTTTTTAAAAAAAGGTTTTTTTTTTAGAAAAAGTTGAAAGTATCAATTTTAATTGTCCTGTAACAGTGAGGTTAAATTTTAATTGCACAAATAACATCGCTTAATATGAGGCATGTGTCATGGGTTTACAAGTTACTATAGATAGAAGAGTGAAAGTAGTGTTTGAAGACTTGGCTTTAGTTATATATCAGTTAAAAGGAGAATGGGAGATGAGAGATTCAAAACTTGTTTCATATCATAAGTATATTTTAGAGTAGATAAAGCAATTTGAAAACATCCAGTTTGACCATTTACCTCGAGAATAGAATATGATTGTCGATGTCTTAGCTACTCTGACTGTAATGATTTAAATTAATGATAATACTGACATTCAACCTATCAAGCTAGATGTTAAAAATATGCCAGCTCATTGCTCCAATATAGAAGAAGAGAATAATGGGAAACCCTGGTATTATGATATCTTATAGTAAATTAAAGATCAGTAATACCCAGTTGAAGCAATAGAGAACGATAAAAGAGTCATCCGAAGATTAGCTATGAGCTTTTTCTTGGATAGAGATGTTCTGTACAAAAAAAACCATGATCAAGTATTACTAAGATGCATAAGTAAGGCTGAAGCAAGAAAAATCATTAAAGAGGTACATGATGGAATATGTGAGGCACATACCAGTAGACATATAATGGTGAGACAGATCATGAGAGTACAATACTGCTGGTTGACAATGGAGAGTAATTGCATTGACTATGCTCGTAAATGCCATAAATGCCAGATATATGCTGATAAGATCCATGCTCTGTCATCTGCTTTACATGTTTTGGCACCACCTTGGCTATTCTCAATGTGGGACATGGATGTCATTAGTCTTATCACCCCAAAGACTTCTAATGGGCATAGGTTTATTTTTGTGATGATAGATTACTTCACAAAATAGGTGGAGGCAGTATCATATGCAAATGTAACATGATCTGTGGTTTGTAAGTTCATAAAGAGAGAGATCATCTGTAGATATAAACTTTTGAAAAGAATTATTTCAGACAATACCAAGAATCTAAATAGTAAGATGATGCAAGAAACATGTGCTCAATACATGATCAAGCATTATAACTCGGTACCCTACTGTCCAAAAATAAATGGGACAGTTGAAGCAGCTAACAAAAATATCAAAAGAATTCTTGAAAAAATGACTCAAACTTATAAAGATTGACATGAGAAGTTACTATTTGTACTGCATACATATCGAACATCAGTGCGCACCTCTACTGGGGTAACCTTATTTTTTTTGGTTTATGGGATGGAAGCTATACTACCAGTGGAAGTTGAGATCCCATCATTGAGGGTTCTAAAAGAAATTGAATTGGAAGAAGCTGAATGGATTCAAGAATGCTATGAATAGTTAAATTTCATAGAAAAAAGAGATTGACTACATTGTGTCATGGTCAACTATACCAAAGAAGAATGATGAGGGCTCATGACAAAAAAGTTTGACCCCGTTGCTTTTGAGAAAGAGATTTGGTCTTGAAAAGAATCCTCCCAACCCAGCATGATAATAGAGAAAAATGGACTCCGAATTGAGAAGGGTCATA